CCAACATGAAGACATTACATTTAATTTTTGTGCTGACAACATAGGCGAATTTAGTGCTGTAAAGTCTATCCACGTATAATTTTATTCGATATCAACGCGACTAAAGAAGTTTTAACTTCAAAAAATATTTTAACAAATATGGCCTAACATAATGTTTGCTTCAATACGCACGATAAAAGCACAAATTTTATTTTAATATTTTTTAAATATTTTTGTAAAATTTTAAGGTAAGATTAATGTGTCTTTAGTTTTTGTAATTTATTGTTGCATTGTTATAGTTGTTTTAACTAATGTATAAGATAAACTTAATTATATTCAAATTGAAATGTGATCAACAAGTTTCAGTATTTCATTTGTTATGATGTCTCAAAAATAATACAGTACTTTGACGTTAATCCTCTATCTCGAAATCCCGTTTATTTGCGGATCATTGAATTGGCGAATAATAAATAAAAAAGTGAGCCGTGGTAGCTCAGATGGTTAGCGCTCGCTGTAAATTACACAGTACGCGAGCAACCCGGGTTCGACCCCGCCGGCACCAATGAACTGTTAATTGCATTTCAAGTGCTGACTTACCACGTCCTCACCGGTGAAAGATAACATCGTGAGGAAACCTGCATGCCTGAGAAATAAGAATAAAAAAATATTTCGAAGACGTGAAATTCGCCAACACGCATTGGGGCAGCGCGCGGACAATTCTTTGCCCTAAAACCATCTCAGAAATGAGGGAAGGCCTATATACATCCCAGCAGTGGGATGTACTCGTATATAGGCTGTAACTTAATGTCCAGCGGTAATTAACACGTGGATTTTTTTTTATAGAAGAGGGGCAAACGAGCTTGTGGCTCACCTGATGGTAAGTGATTACCGCCGCCCATGAACAACAGCAACACCAGGGGAATCGCAGATACGTTGCCAGCCTTTTAGAAAGGTAAGCTCTTTTCTTGAAGGTCCCTAAGTCGTATCGGTCCGGAAAAATCGCCGGTGATAAACAATTCCACAGAGAAGTTGTACGAGGATGGAAACTCCTAGTAAAACGCACAATCATGGACCGCCAAGCAAACCACCAAGATGGTGAGGATAATTTTTTTATTTTTTTTTATAGGAGAGGGGGCAAACGAGCATGCGGCTCACCTGATGGTAAGTGACTACCGCCGCCCATGAACAGCTGCAACACCAGGGAGGGAATCGCAGATGCGTTGCCGGCCTTTTAAAAAGGAGTACGCTCTTTTCTTGAAGGTCCCTAAGTCGTATCGGTCCGGAAAAATCGCTGATGGTAATCGATTCCACAAGGAAGTCGTGCGAGGAAGAAAACATCTTCAAAATCGCACAGTGGTGGACCGCCAATCATCCAGATGGTGTGGATGGTATCGGGAGTTCTGCCGCAATGTGCGTTCGTGAAATTTGGCGGCTGGGATTAATCCGAACAATTCCTCAGAGCACTCCCCGTGGTAGATGCGAAAGAAAATGCAAAGGGATGCAACATCTCTTCGTAGTGCCAATGAATCGAGCCGATCGGGAAGGACTCGGTCGTCGACGATTCGAGCCGCTCTGCGCTGGATGCGGTCAAGTGGAAGCAGCTGGCACTGGGGAGCCCCTGCCCAGAGATGGGAACATTATTCCATGTGAGGCCGAACCTGCGCCTTGTAAAGTTGCAGGCGGTGTGCCGGCATGAAATACTGTCCCGCTCTGCTGAGCACGCCAAGCTTTTTAGAGGCCAATTTGGCCTTCACTTCCAAGTGACCACGAAACTACACGTCACTCGATATGTTGACACAGAGGCTCCCGATACTGGCTGAGGCAACAAGGGGAGTGCCTTGAAACTAAGGACATACGATAAAGGGGTTCTTTTTAGCGGTAAACGCGCAAACTTGTGTCTTCTGGGGATTGAACTGGACTAGATTTAGTCGACCCCAGTCTGAGACTTTGTTCAACAAAGTCTCGACTTCAGACACAAGGTTGTTCCGGTACTCGGCGACGTTTTCCCGAGAAATATTGGCACGGCCGGTGTATAGAGCATCACCAGTGCTGTCATCCGCATAGCAATGAATGTTACCAGTTAGCAAAATATCATTGATATGCAGAAGAAACAGCGTTGGTGATAGCACACAGCCTTGTGGAACACCAGCGTTAATAGACTTGTAGTCGGAGCATGCACCGTCTACAACGACCTTGATGCTTCAATCTGCAAGGAAGCTGGTGATCCAATCGCACAATTTCTCGGGAAGCCCATAGGAAGGCAGCTTCGAAAGAAGCGCTTTGTGCCAAACCCGATCGAAGGCCTTCGCAATGTCCAAACTAACGGCCAACGCCTCCCCCTTGGACTCTACTGCCTCTGCCCATCTATGGGTCAGGTAGACCAGAAGATCACCAGCTGATCGACCCCGACGAAAACCGTATTGCTGGTCACTAATCAGCTGGTGATCCTCAAGGTACCGCATGAGCTGGCAGTTAATAATTAATATCGTGAATTTTGATGCGATGTGCGTTCGTGAAATTTGGCGGCTGTAATTAATCCGAACAATTCTTCAGAGAACTCCCCGTGGTAAATTCGGTAGAAAATGCAAAGGGATGCAACATCCCTACGCAGTGCCAGTGTATCGAGCCGATCAGAAAGAACTCGGTCGTTGACGATTCAAACCGCTCTGCGCTGGATGCGGTCAAGTGGAAGGAGCTGGCACTGGGGTGCCCCGGCACAGAGATGAGAACAGTATTCCATGTGAGGCTGAACTTGCGCTTTGTAAAGTTGCAAGCGATGTGCTGGCATGAAATACTGTTATACTTACTTGATAAGGTGTCTACGGACCTTTTTGGAACTAAGTTCCTTATCGGACGGTACGAATTTGGCGGATGGGGGCTAGGCGAGAAAAAGTATAAGAATTTTTCGTCACGATCCCGTCAGACTTAGTGTAGATAGCATTGGATATAAGGAAGCGAGATGGAATAATATCCATTTCCTTCCCTCGCACTTTTTTTTATCTTGCCATGAAAGAAATATTATTTTATTTTAAATGACGCTTCATTTTAATAGACGCTAGTAATTCATTTATATGTATTTGTAAATCAATAATATAATACGTTTATCAATATTAATATACTATGAAAGGAACTTCGTTCCAATCGAGTGTTCCACGACACTCACGCATGTTTTTTTACGTTAAGATCATTTATAAACAAAGTCCGCTTTCATCCTGAATGTTGAAAGGCCTTCTTTATTTTATCCAAAACAAACTAACAAACAATAGTAATTAGTTACTGTAGTCATAGGAATTATATATTAAAATCAATTGTTGTCCGTTAGTCTTGTTAAAACTCAAAAACGGCTCGACCGATTTTGATAATGTTTTTTTGTATTTGATGAAGTCCCTGGAAGGTTTAGATTCACATTTGAACCCGGTTAGTAGCACTTTTGTAGAGATCCAAAAAGCACCCATGCGAAGCCGGGGTGAATCACTAGTTTCAAATAAAGAAGGCTCTGAGAACTAAGACGAGCATATGCCCATAATTATACTGGCTTTGTTTCCACTTAACCCTAGAACCCTACCCAGGGTGCTGTGCACCCTGTGGTAACTTTGGTAGATAATATTTTTTTAACTAATGGCAGCACAGCTTCGTTATTTTTTCTAATCTCGTGTCAATTCATGTTTACCACTTTGTACTAGTTGAAAATTGACTGTCATACCGGTAAGTATTGTAAATAATTAATGCAGGGTGCTGTAGCACCCATGGGTAGTAAAATACACAAATATTTCAAATAAATCAGTCTCTTATTTTTAGCTATAAATATTGTAGTATCTATGTTCTTGTGTTTAGAAGTGCATTTCTTTTGTGGGTTGTAAGTATTGTAAAATAAGATGGCGGGTTTTAGAAGAGAGTTGACGAATGAGAGCATTGAGTGGTTTCTCGATGACGATGAGATCGTTGGAGGCGCGGAGTCAGACGGCGAACCTGATGAAATCATTGAATACTTTCACCTTGATGAATCTTCGTCAGGTTCAGAAGATAATCAGACTCTAACCAGCTTACATTCGATTTTTATAACAAAACAAAAGAAGGAGTTGATACATTTGGCCAACTGTGCCATTTCTATTCAGTGTCACGTAAGACTCGTCACTGGCCTTTATGCATTTTTTACGGGTTATTGAATACAATCGGTATCAACTCTATGATATTGTTGAAGTTTAGTTCCTCAATAAATAAGGAAAATATACCCAATAGACGGACATATCTGAAAACTTTATTAATAAAAAATTGGCCTACTTTGAGCCACAATATCCGCCAAATGATAAACGGCATACTCAAAACGCCAAATGAGCCTGATAGATCAGCTCCTAGTGTCGTTAAACAGGGATGTTGTTGATTCTGCCCCTATTCAAAAGACAGAAAAAGTAAGACCTTTTGCAACAAGTGTAAAACGCCTATTTGTGGAGAGCATCAGATAAAAGTTTCTTTTAAATTTGTTTAAACCGTTTACTTTTGCTATTGGCTTTTTAAGTTGATTTCTAAAATAACCAATAAATAAGTTTTTATACAAAAAACTGCATTTTTATTATAATTCTTGAAAATATGTCTCATTACATAACAGGGTGCTCGGTCACCCTGGATAGGAAAAGTCGCTGTAAAATATGGGTAGGGTTCTAGGGTTAAACCAAACCACAATGATGTATACACTTTAGCTGGGCTACAGAAATACGATGAGGTAAGAGGGCAGTACCGATTAAGACAAATTCCTTGGCCGAGCTACGATTTTGACGGAAACCTAGAAAATAAGGATCCTTGTGATAAAATAAAATTTGACAGTAATATTACAGGAGACATTTACGAAGTTCTTTTATGAATAAAATCCAATATGGTCGACTTATTTGCAACTTATGATACTTTATTCAAGTATTTGCATCAATGTCACAGAGTTCTTGAAGCTACTTTAATAAAAGTGTATGATCTATAAAAAGACGGCGTAAATTCACTTATTTTTTTACAGTCCACAAAGACAACAATTACTAATACAGCTCTTCATATTTGTTTTCGCAATCGTTCGTGGTACAAATTGCATTTCCATTATCCAGACAGAAGCATACATTGCAGTCCAACTTATAAGACAAACCTTTAGGACAGTGATCTGGACGTTTCGGTTTAACTGGTATCAAATCAACTGTTAAAGTTTCTTGTGACTTACAGTTACGGCTTGTGCATTTCAGTATTCTGCTATTCGACAGACATTGACACGTATTACACTCTGTCTTGTAAACGTGCAAAGGCTTACAGAAACCTTGCAATAATTCAAAATCTAATGCTCGAGTTTCTTTATCATTTGATATTCTTGTACATGATCTATCCACTACACAGGTTTCTATCTTTATACCTGCTTCAATATCACATCGACATATTAAACAATTTTTCTTATACATTGTTCTATTAACGCAATCACTTTCAGTTAAACTAACTGCATTTTTGACGTTACATTGTTTCATTGTACAACTAAAGGTCTTTTTACCATTTTGGCTTGAACAATAACAAGTATTGCATTCTCTGGTATATTTAGTTCCCGGTTTGCATTCGTGATCATCAACGGGGGCATGAGTAAATTCAAATTCATTTTCAGTTATAATATCTAGTTGCCTTAAAGGATAGTATTTTAAACATTTCTTTGTTGTGCAATATTTTAAAGTTTTTTCGTCGCAGAAACAGTAATTGCAAGCTTCGTTGAAAATTTCACCTACGTCATAGTTATTGCAAACGGATTCTCCAATTAAATTAAGATTATTAGATCTTTCTTTATTTTTTTCTACTGTCGAGCAGCCATCACAAAGAAGTCTATTGTTCCGAAGGCATCTACAAGTTTGACATCCTAGAGAATATTTTTTATTTGTTGTACATGATGCATATATGGAAATATGTGCATCATGTACTAAACTGTCGTCTTCCACTTTCATTTCATACTCGAGGTTTCTGGTAACATTCATAACTGGATCTTCTTTTGAGCATGCCAATTTTGTACATAAATCTAAGTTCAGGATTCCAGTTGAAGGACAAAAACACACGTTGCAGCCAACTAAATGAAGTTTAGATGGCGCGCACTTTTGAGATATTTCTATTCCTCTAGTGACTTCTACAGAGTGCATGATTCGAAATATGTCCCTACAGACTGGGTTAGGCCAGTTGCCGTCTTCGTTGCACACACATAGTACTGAATCTCGTCGGTAGTGGACTCCTGGCGAGCAGGCTGTTTCTGTGGTGCGCCAAGAGCCTCTTCCTTCCATTCCAAGGTCTAAATCTTGTATTGGATCTGTAAAGAAACGATTATAAACAAACTATTTCCAGAATATTTGCAACGGTACGCTGAATTTCCAAAGTTAAACATGGTCGACGGAATATTGTGTAAGTTATACGTACAAAATGCTACTACAAAATGTCAACTGCTGAACATAGGCCTCCCACAAGGAATACCAAAAAGCACGGTCCTGAGTCACCTGCACCCATCGACTTACTGCATGTCTTACCAGGTCGTCACTATCTAGTGCGGGCGTCACCCTACACTTCGCCTACCGGTACGAGGCTGCCATTCGAGAACCTTTTTTCCCCATCGGTTGTCGGTTCTTCGAGCTATATGGCCGGCCCATTGCCACTTCAGTTTACTAATCCGTTGGGCTATGTCGGTTACTCTGATTCTACTGCGGATATCCTCTTTTTTAAATTTATCACGCGGAGAAACCTCGAGCATAGCCCTCACCATAGCTCGCTGAGTGACCTTGAGCGTCTTCACATGGCCATCAGGGAAAGACCACGTTTCAGATCCACAAGTTATCACTGGCAACACTCACTTTTATACAATATCGTTTATACAATATCGTTTTTTTATAGGAGAGGGGGCACACGAGCCTGCGGCTCACCTGATGGTAAGTGACTACCGCCGACCACAAACAACTGCAACACCAGGGAATTGCAGATGCGTTGCCGGCCTCTTCAAAATAAGTAGGCTCTTTTCTTGAAGGTCCCTAAGTCATATCGGTCCGTGAAAATTGCTTGTGGTAATCGATTCCACAAAGAAGTTGTGCAAGGAAGAAAACATCTTCTAATTCGCACAGTGGTGGACCGCCAATCATTCAGATGGTATGGATGGTATCGCGAGTTTTGTCGCGATGTGCGATGGTGAAATTGAGCGGCTGGTTGGTCCGTCTGATTGATTAGTCCGAACAATTCTTTAGAGCATTCTCCGTGATAGATGCGATGAAATACGCAAAGGATGCAACATCTTTACGCAGTGCTAGTGAGTCAAGCCGATCGGAAAGAATTCGGTCGTCGACGATTCGAACCGCTCTCCTCTGGATGCGGTCAAGTGGATGGAGCCGGCACTGGGGAGCCCCTGCCCAGACATGGGAACAGTATTCCATATGAGGCCGAACCTGCACCTTGTAAAGTTGGAATCGGTGTGCCGGCATGAAATACTGTCCCGCTCTGCTGAGCACGCCAAGCTTTTTAGAGGCCAGTTTTGCCTGCTCTTCCAAATGACTACGAAACTAAACGTCACTCGATATGTCACCGAGGATTCCGATACTGGCTGAGGCAACAAGAGGAGTGCCTTGAAACTGATGACATACGACAAAGGCGTTCTTTTTAGCGGTAAACGCGTAAACTTGTCTTCTGGGGATTGAACTAGACTAGATTTAGTCACCCCCAGTCTGAGACTTTCTTTAACAAAGTAACAGCGTTGGTGATAGCACGCAGCCTTGTGGAACACCAGCGTTAATGGGCTTGTAATCGGAGCATGCATCGTCTACTACGACCTCGATGCTCCGATCTGCAAGAAAACTGTTTATGATAAATGGCGAAATTTTCATATAATCTAACTAAATTTTGGCGGCATAATACAATCTCTCCCATAGTTTTCTCTTATGAGTTTCAGAAAAGAGAACTATGGAAAACGGCACAAAGTTCTTATGACATCTGATGGAGCCAAATGTCAAATACCCCACCGTCGATGGAGAGCGGTTTCAAAGGTATTTGTTAGAGCCGCACTGGAGTGTACATAGCTGTAGCACAAATAGACTGACTCGACCGTAAGAAGATGACGCTCTGAAGGTAAGGCGCACCGGGAACATAAGTCGTGCTTTCCTCCGCGACCCTTTTGCTCCACCTGCACAACTGACCCCTCCGAACCCTATACGCTGAGGCCATGGGGCCAGGAAAAAACGAGCACTTTCTAAAAGTCCCAATCCAGGAATAGACATTTACAGACTAATAAAGTAAGTGAAGTAATCGGAAGTGTAATTAGATCTCGATGGTTTACATTTGTATTTGTTTTCTTACCTGTGAAATGTCCCAACATGTCCACCTGAGTACAATCGCGAGCTTCGCACCTGTACCGATGGTTGCTGTCACACCAGCACCAGTTACAGTCGTTAATAGCGTGCGAATTCTTTACACAACGGCCGCTCCATACCTTTTCCGCTACCGCTGGTGTAAAATTGTTGGATCGATTTAATTACATAATAATAACTTATCCAAGTATACGAGTACATATAAGTGTTTACCGTTTAGTGGTTGTGTAAGAATATCCACTACTCCATACCATCCCGTGGGTGTCGTAAGAGGTGACAGAGGGGAACAAACCAGTAGACGGGTAACAACGTCTTCCTAATATCAATTAAAAAATAAAGAATTGCGGTTGCAAGCTCACCTGCCAAGAATAAAATAGAATAGAATAGAATAGAATTATTTTTATTCAATATAGATTACAGTACATAATAGTTATTGAAAATATATATTTTTTTACTTCTATCACTGGTTTGCATAAAATTCCTGTCGTGGGAATAATCAGCAAGAAACCCAGCGGGACTTAAGCAAAATTTACAATATAATATTTTATACAATTGTAATGAAAACCTTTCGAAACAGCATGGTAGCGATCACCTCTTTCCTAGGGGTTATTATGTGCTCTTTAGCAGTATTATTATACTACTCTAATTAGACAATTTTTGCTTAATAAATAATTTAAACCTTTTGATAAAATGCGGCAACTATGGCAAATATCCTATTAGCCGTGGAATTTTGTCAGGCTGTAACAGTAACGGCACATTTGAGTATATTATGGGGACACCTTCTATAAAGGGAAGGACGACGCTCTCATAAAATACCAGCATAATATAGCAGCTTAATCCTGCTATGTTTGGTGTGGTGAGTATAGAGAACCCGAGACCCTTTTGATTCTTAACCGAGGATAGATGTAGATTTCTATGGCCACAGTATCCACTTAACATCAGGTGGAATGTGTCCTTGTTTGTCACCCTTATAATAGGCGTTTTTTACAGGATAAGGGTAGCAAACCAGCACACAGTTCACCTGATGGTAAGTGGTTGCTGTGGCCCATAGAAATCTATATTTATCCTCGATTACGAATCAAAATGCAGATGAGTAGTCACCCGTGAGGACTAAGATGGAATGTCTCGTTGCCTCCTGTTTTTTATACTAACCACATGAAACACAGCAGCATTAAACTACTATTTTACCCCGTTCGTGCTACAACTATACCAGTATCTAAATATATATCTGCATCATGGCTCTACCACGTATAAAGGGATAAATTATATGTTTATCTTTTTTATCTTAATACTTCTTAATAAATTCTTAATACAATTAAATTCGGAGCTAATTCCAGCCGCTCAATTTCACCATCGCACATCGCGACAAAACTTGCGATACCATCCATACCACCTGGATGATTGGCGGTCCACCACTGTGCAATTTAGAAGATGTTTTCTTCCTCGCACAACTTCCTTGTGGAATCGATTACCACCAGCGATTTAAAAAGAGCCTACTCCTTTTTAAAAGGCCGGCAACGCATCTGCAATTCCCCTGGTGTTGCGGTTGTTCATGGGCGGCGATAGTCACTTACCATCAAGTGAGCTGTATGCTCGTTTGCCCCCTCTCCTATATAAAAAAAAACATTTCCCTGTATCGCTTCTTAAGACAGCCACGGGAGGATGTCACTCGCCGTGTAGTGACGGTATAAGTGAGAAATTAAATAGGAAATGGGAAGCACCATCCTTATGATAACACTTAAAAAAAACTACGGTTGTTAACACGTCTGCCAAGCGGGGCAACTATGGAAATTATCTCCCCTATGAGGCAATCTATGGGGCCTTTGTTCAGCAAGGGTCTTTGATAGACTGTAATGAATGGAAAATATAATTATAGTACAGAAAAATTACATTATTTAAGCATATTACCAGCATTAAAACATACTAACGTTGTTGATAATTCATAGATAACGCAAACATTAAATTTATCGACAACAAAATAAAAATTTTTAGGTACATTTTAGAAATCCTAAAACTGTAATGCGAAACATAAAACTAAAGTCGGAGTAAAGCTACCTACTTGTTATTAATTAATCAATTTTCCAACTTTAATTGCTAATTATACAGATGCAGTTAAAATCAATTGAAGTTAATGAAAATTATATTTCCTTGACTTTAAACCACGCCATAAAACTTTGATTTTTACAATATGAATGTTTGAGTCATCAAATTTTTAATGACATTGCAAACTTTATAGTTTAATCTTATTCACTGTCTCCATAAGAATGATGCATATGAGGGATAATTCGGTAAAATAATTAAAATAAAATATTAAATAAATAACTTCAAGCATTATTATTACTTGACCTTGTGTGACGAATGCACAACACGCTGTATTAGGTTAGGAAATGAAATTCTTCCCGCTTGTTGAAAATTTGATTGCACTTACTTTACTCTGCTTAGAATACCAGAATACCAGGGTAAAATAGCAGCTTAGCACTGCTGTGTTTCTTATGGTGAGTGTAGAGAACCGGAGGCCCTTTTTACAGGAAACGAGGCATTCGATCTTAGTCCTCACGGGTGACAACGCATCTGCATTTTAATTTGTAATCGACTATAGGTGTAGATGTCTATGGGCCACAGCAACTACTTGTCATCAGGTGACAGTCCACCTGATGGTGCTCGTTTGTCACTCTTATCCTATAAAAAAGAGATAAGCAAGGTTGGTTAATTATTTTCAGCAGAGTAAAAAAACGCTATCAAAGTTCTGGAGTACAGCGAGTTTATTATATAGAAAAACTCCGAACTATGACATTTTATTATAAAGCTAGCTGTTCCCCGCGACTTTGCCCGCGCGTAATGTATTACGATTGGATTTAATTTTTTGCGCGGAACCGTAATTCTTTTTCTAAAATGAAAGTATCCTAAGTTACTTCTTATAACATAAGCTATCTGTGAGTGAAAGTCCGGTCAAAATCGGTCCAGCCGTTTCGGAGATTAGCCGGATCAAACAGACAGACAGACAGACAGAAAATAACACATAAAAATTTTAAAAATCGTGTTTTTATTATAGGTACCGTATATACTTTTATGTGCATATAGTAAAAAGCTGTTATTTCGACATTACAAACATACACTTCAATTTTATTTATTTGTATAGAGTCTAGGAGTCCGCCAGGGTAAGTACCAATCTCTAACCTATTTCTGTTTCTAAATATCAGTGCTTGCACTGCTGAGTTCCAGTTTGAAGATAGAACCAGAATAATTACAAGCTGTGAACACAGCAGCATTAAGCTGCTATTTTACACTGGTATTCTGTGAGAGCGTAGACCTTCTCTGGTTGAGCTGACCCATTCGTGCTACAACCATAATAAATAGTTGTAGCGTGGCTCTGGAGCTTTGGCCGTTCCCCGGGCTGAATATCTTCCCGGTTGGAGATCTCCCCTTTTCTATCCAAGGCTAAATATGCTACCAGACGGGTTCTGCTGTTTTAATATATTGGAAAATAAGTTACGGTCGATCCCCGTAACTCCTTTAGTCGACCGCGAGTGGACGAGAAGACTAATTCTTTAGCTGTGTCACGCCAGCAACGCAAAGTCAGAAATGTTCATTAAAAAAAAAACAAAGATTATACTCTATTCCAATTACGAAGTCCCTTTAGACACTTCTTAGAACGTAACTCTTCACGTTTCGCATAATTTGAAATAATAATCATTTTTGTTCATGGTCGTAAATCATCATTTAAAAATACACAACCAATCTAAATCATTATACAATTAATTCACACACACAATCAACATATTGTTTTAAGACATCGTGCTCAAAATAATTAAAACTTTAAAAGATAATAATATTTTGCTTTGAACGTAAACGCAAAACTGCTGTTTTGCGTTTACGTTCTATAGTTTTATTTTTACTTTTTTACATAGTGACGTGACTAAAAGAATGGTATAAAATCGATTATAGACAGATTCTTTTCGCGAGTGAAAATCTGTCAACACTGCGTCCACCTCGTGATCACGACCGCCATTTTGTTTGTGTCTTCAGTACGAGTGCATACGATACGCGTGTTCAGTTTAGTTGATTTTGTGTTATGTTTTTATTTCGTTCCTGTTATTGTAGTTATAACTGTTTGATAATTCTTTCGTTGTTATTAAGTTTTGAATGTTATTTGATTTGTTTTTTTTTTGTATTTATAAACACTATGGCCGAAACTGAGACCACTAAAAGAACAGTGATGCGCAGTCAAGCGCAAGAGTTTGTAGTACGCCTAGAAGATTACTTTGAAAGAAAGTATCAGAATGGTAGTCCATTGTTGCCACTTTCACAAGTGACTAACCGAGTAAGTGCAGCTCTTGGTATTAGTCGAAAAACTGTCTCCCGAATAAGTAAGGAAAAAGATGGTAAAGATTTAATGGAAGATAAAAAATTAAAATCGCCACTTAAGAAAAAAGTTAGAAGATCGATAGTTACACATATCGACAATTTTGATAACGACACCATTAGAAACCATATCTATGGCTACTATAGTAGGAACAAATTGCCGACTCTCGATAAATTGTCAAATACTTTACGAGAATCTGGACTGTTTCACGGCAGTAGAACTTCTTTCTGGAGGGTTTTAAAAATGTTGGCTTTTCTTATAATAAATGTGATGAAAGGTGGATTTTGATGGAACGTAGAGATATAGCTTTAGCCAGATTTAATTTTCTAAGATTAGCAAAGTCCATTGCCGTTTGGAATAATGTTATATTTCCAGACGTGGCTAAACGCTAATCATACAGTTGGCAAGATATGAACAGACGATACTCCTTACTCCTCCATTATTTGTCATGCGGGTTCCATGAAGGGATTTATTGCGAACTGCCTCTTGGCGTTTAAATCTAAGAAAACTGTGGAATACCACGAAGGGATGAATTTTGTTAAATTTAAGGAATGGTTTTGTACCTTATTGACCAACTTTAATGATCCATCGACGATCATTATGGATAATGCACCGTATCATTCAGTACAAATAAGTAAGCCTCCAACGTCTAGCAGCAAAAAAGGCGATATTGTGAAATGGCTGAATGACAATAATATTGTTGCTAACATGTCCATGTTAAAAGTTGAGCTGCTGCATTTGGTTGCTATAAATAAGCCAGCTAGATCAAAATACGTATTGGACGAAATGGCTAAGGAAGCCGAACACAATGTAATGCGCCTTCCACCCTGCCATTGTCAATACAATGCCATAGAATTGATTTGAGCGCAAATTAAAGGCAAGAATTTAAACAAATCTTTTTTATAATTTATTTTTACCTATTTTAACATTTTATCTGTTGCTATATTAACACGCAAATCTTTATTTTAGGTTATGCGGCTCGTAAAAATACCAGCCCACGATTTACTGCAAACAAAATGCTGTCATTGTTGCAAGAAGCTTGTGATAGTGTTACTGCCGCGAATTGGGAAAGTGTGGTTTTACGAACAAAAAATTTAATTTTCGCTGATTGGGAATATTGCTAGCAACGCAGTGGCGATAATAGATATACGATAAATATTAATAGCAAAGAATTAAGTGCTAATTAAGTGCTGAACGATTATTGAAGTCGTGTATAGATGACGGCAATGTTCTGAGAATTATCGGGTCCAGGACCACCATTACGTTATATGATGAGATAGGTCGAATCAGAACGCCCTGACTCCACGTAGTCGTCTCTGCCCTACCCCTAGAGTGTTTTCGTAAAGCTGTAGAAGCGGAGGTAGAGCAGCTCCCGCCCGCTTTGGCAAATCGCAAGCATCTGTGCGAGTTATAGAGGCAGAGGCTGGTCGCCGTAGGCGAGCAATAAGCTAAGCTGCGGAGGTGAGCATGGGTACCTGTGATTTCCTACGCAAGAGCAAAGGGGCTGCACTTCCGGAAGCCGTTGCAGAAGTACCTATGTCAATATTCCTGTGTAAAAAAAAGGTTATGATTTCCAAAAAAAAAAATATTACTCATAAACTGTAGGTACATTTTCGCAAGGGAGGAAGGATATGAGGGCTACCCCAGAACACTACCCCTCCTATAAATTTGAAGGAAAACTTCACTTCTATGGGTAGAATAATTAAGAATAAAGATTTTAATGTAACTATTTTAAAAATTTAAACTTTTGATAAAAACTAGTTGGCTTGGCTTCAAATAAATGAAATAAATAAAATAATTTCCACATAATAGCTCCTTAAATTTTTACCGCTGCAGTGGAAGACGTTTTCAAGCTACGGCACTGGAAAAGATACGGTACCAACATAATGGCGAGTGTATTATTTACCTTCGATTTTTCCGACGATTTACTTGGTATGCTCTGTTCCGTTGGGAGACACTATTGAGATCATTACTTCAATAGTGTTTCCTAACGGATTGGTGTTAGGTTTAACATGGGCAAGAAAAAAGATCATGGTAAAAAGGTCATGGGTCTATCTTATACCCATGCTGGTAGCTGTTCGGATCACTACGCTTGAAGTTATTGACGAGTACGATGATAAACTGTCAGACTGTAGTGTACGAGTAGGTAGGTGTAATAGTAGCCCAAAATACATAATATTATGTGTATATTGATGTTAACTGTAGAGTAAATACAGTAGTCTTATTAAACTTATAGAGGGAACAACACCTCTCTCTCTCATTGACACCTTCCTACATGACATGGATTCTAAATTTAACACTAATATACATATATTGTTGTGGAGTCTACACCTAGACTACAGGACTAGGTAAATTCAGCTTCAATGGAGGGACCAATCGATAGATCTAATTCCGCTGGACAGCGTTCGTGTGATTACGACACATGTTCTCATCATATATACTTCAAAATTTCTATATAATATAGTTATATGCCTACGATCTAAGCCTACAAGATCTTCCGATTATCGCCTTAAGGTCCTTTTTGCGTCGCCCAGTGGAAGAAATGGTTGATGGGTTCTTTACGCTGCCACCATACGGCAATATTAGGTTACAGTGTATCAGATATATTTTAAAAACATTCTATGTATTTGTTCGAGTAAAGTAGTGTCATATTGGGAAACAAAAGACAGCTACTCGCCATAACGTTAAAAATTATGCCAGTAAAATATCTCAAACAATCGCTCCTACTGAATACATAAATTAAAATATAGCGGATATTCTAGCATTGAAAGTTCTGAAAAGAAAAATCTGCACACACACACACTTGCCAAATATAGGGAAAACGAGTTGAATGTAAATTCAAGAAAAACAACTTCCTTCTGCGTGAATCCCATATCTCTGGTGCCCTTTGACCTACAGGACCCAAATTCAAACTCAACCGAGCTACTACCTCAAGGTATCCACATACCAAATTTAAAGTCAATCGGTCCAGTGGAACGGAAGTTATCGTATCGGCATACAGACTAACAGACTGCCAGCTAAAACCATTAACTTCCTTTCAAGGCTACGAAGAAGGAAGTTAATAAAGAGATAGTAAATATAAAAAAAATATTATATTGCTTTTTTTATAGGAAAGAGGGCAAACGAGCATACGGCTCACCTGATGGGAAGTGACTACCATGAACAACAGCAACATCAGGGGAATTGCAGGTGCGTTGACGGCCTTTTAAAAAGAAGTAAGCTCTTTTCTTGAAGGTCCCAAAGTCGTATCGGTCCGGAAAATTCGCCGGTGGTAAATTATTCCACAGAGAGGTTGTACGCGGAAGAAAATTCCTAGTAAAACTTACAGTGGTGGACCGCCAAGCATCCATATGGTTTGGATGGTATCGGGAGTATTGCCGCGATGTGCTCTATTACTTTTCAACTATTATACATAGACCATAGAAGACTTACAGATTTAATGTATTATTTTGTGAGGGAGAGGGTATTTTTTTTTCAAGCGGTACTGGTTTCACCAGCAACCCGTGCTATGCCATTAGACATAGACCACTAGGATTAATTAAGACTTTATTATAGTTAATTTGGATTGGATTTGGATAAAGTATTATACTCATAGTAATTAAGAAAAAAAAATTACGGTGAGGTAGACAATTTTTTTTCAAAAACGTTACCCCCACACTAGGATTTTCTACTGTGTCGTGGAGGCAGTTTACAAACATAAATTGCACAAGGACAAACATCCAAACCCGGAACAATTATTTGTAGGCCATACAAATACTTGTTCCGTGCGGGATTCGAACCCGCGGCCCCCAGCGCAACAACTGATTGCTAAGCCACTGCGCCACGGAGCCGTCTATGACAAATATGAATGTTAGATGCACTTTTACCTAATAACAAGTTATGATAAATAATGCTCTGACTTTAAAGATATTATATTTTGATTCGTGCAAATTTAAGGAACACCTAAGACTTAATTCTTAAACATGATTTCATTGTACACAGCAATTTTCCATTTTTCATGCAATAACAAGAGTTGCATTCTACCACAGTCGTTGTTCCAGGCTCGCAGGTACTGCTTGAGTCCAGAGAGATCATTTTTCTTACACCAGATTTTCTTTTACCTAAATCGAAAACATTTCTTAACATACTTGGTAGATTTACACCAAAAAGGGAAGATTTTTCGTTTTGTACGGCTTCGGTATTATTTGTTATCTTTTCTCGCAAATCAATAGTTTTAGGAGAAGATTTATCATCTTTTGTCACCAACCGTTCAGGTAAAGTTATTGTCGGCTTTACGTATATCTGAGAGTTTTCTTCTTTTGAATTACTTTTGCTACTTAAATTTGAGTTTTCCTTTTCATCGGTCTCATCTGAAACATCTTTATTATCAAATTTTTCATATGGCATTTGAGTTCTAGAATCAATTTTATTTTGTTGTGCATATTTTTCAGACTCATCGTATTTCGAATCAGAACTTTCCTCATCTACCTTATTTCTAGCTGACATAAAAACTCCTCTGTCTTCATCATATATTTCTGGTCTTGCTTTGCGGTTGTTTCCTAATCCAAGAATTGATTTGTCACCTGACATTAAATTAATAGCATCTTTCAAAAATGATTCACCGCAGACAGTTACATTGTACATTCCTAACGGCAGTGTTTTTGATTGTTTGTTACTTTTACTACATACCAGTTTATTGCCATTAATACAATAGCAAAGTTGACAAGAAGCAAAAGAGTACCAATTATTTGCAACACATTTTTCTTTAAATGTTTCAGTGGATTTACGACTTCTACGAGATTTACTACTGCTTTCACACACATGTTTCGTACATCTCTTGTAATCTAGTTTTCCTTTTTCGTTACATTTACATACATTGCATTGGACAACAACGTAGGAGTTTGGTTTGCAGTTTTCGTTTAATATTCTGTTGTTGTACAATTTGTCAAATATCGAAGCACAGTTATTATTAGGCCAATTTCCATTTTTTGTACAGACACAATGCACAGTGTTATGGATGTACGTTACGTTTGGCTGACATGATATTGACTTTGTCTTCATTCCATGAAATTTCAACATTTTGATGTCGTCTAAACAGAAAAATATATATGTATTATTCAACTTTGCAGTGCATTTGAAAAAAAATTTTGAAAATTATTGTTTCTGGAATGAATGCTTTTAACGACTAGTCCAATATTCTGATGACATATTCATATTCATAAACAAAGCAATTGATACAGAAAAAAGAGATATAAATATGGCGCCTACTTTTTCAGCATGTAAAAAATAGATAATCGAAAGATATAGGTTACCTGTTAATTTGTAAGATTTTGCAACCCTAAACATCAAAAGAATTAAAATACTAAAAAGAAACCTCATCTTTCAATTTATGCTCGATAAAAAATGTTATAACATTTCTTATTCACTGCGGAACATAATTGGAGCAAACTTAATCAATATTAGAAAAATTAACGACGCGGTAAAATTCTAAACAATAGTCAATCTACAATAGACTTGCTAAAATAGTTGCATATTTTCATACAGAAAAAATAGTATATATTCAGAAAATACTCTGAATTTACTACTCACATGGTACTAGATAGTGTATAGTGCAGCTTGCACAGCTAGCTGCTAGACAATTCTAATAGACGTATCCCTATACGTAAAAGGAACCCTGCCAATTAGTACCATGATACTGAGTAAACAATCCGCAGTATTTTCTAAATATATTTTCCTGTGTGAAAACATGCAACTATTTTAGCAAGTCTATTGTAATATTACTAGGTCTTATGTCTGTAAAATGCTCAGTAAGTAGCACGCATGTCAGGTGTCATATTGACGAAGTGGGTCTCAATAACTCAAGTTAAGCAGACGACAATGTGCTGCTAAATGATATCTGTCTGAAGTTAAGCGAAATTGTTGGACTACCCTCAACTATGTACAATAACGTGTTGTGCTTATGTGGCGAAATAATATTTTTCTTTTTTTAAAGTATAACCTATTTGATATGTCACTTAATCATCATACAAAAAAGACATACAGTCGAATTGTTAACCTCCTCCTTGGACTATCTCGAATTTTAAGTTTTGCCAAAAATACATACAGGTAAACAACTGAGTCCTAATCTAATTCTACATATGTATAACTGATGTACTATGTTTGGAAATACTAGAACCATGGTTTGGGGGGGGGGGGGATGACAAGTTGGGTTACTGCATAATATTTTCTACTAATACAATAAACTTCTCAGATCCTTCCTAAAAAAAATTTAATCTGACATCTGATGGATGTTCCCAAGAGAAAGAGAAATAAGACCTTGAGTATAAGTTGCATAATGCATTCGTCCCGGAACTAGATGCTTGTCTTGCTAAGGAATCAACAGTTTCGTTGTCACGTATGCTTTGATAAAAATATTTATACATTGCATCTTTTGTTTTAAATGAATAATTGTTAGTTTCGATTTACTTCGGAATGGGTTAGGTAAAATGCCTTGTAATATTGTGCGCTTCTTTAAATAAAATTTCTTCTAAAATAGAAACTGCTTCGCTATTAAAAATTGAAATGGCATTTAGACTTTTGAAATTTAGAATAATTTTATATTTCGATATTCAGACAGCTGAACCTACAAAGCTATTATCAGAAAGCCTCAGAGTAATATGGGTCAATATTATTTAGATAGAAAGGAAAGTTCCAATAAACTCAGTATACTATTGCAATGTACCATGTGGTGGCGGCATAAAAGAATCCACTACCCCCTGTATCATCCCCTAGGTGTCGTAAAAGACGAAAGTACGGAGGAAAATGAAAAAGGAGATGGACAGCAGCTGCTACCTGATATCAACCTAGTAATAATATATTTGGGAAATGATGATAATTAACAATGATGATGATGATGATGATACTACTGGAATAGAGAAACAAAGATTGGAATAATAATATCATAATTTATTGGTTTACTTGAATTATTTATCATAACATAATGTACGCATTATTATAAATACAATACAAAGTTCAGTGTTTGATTTTTCTTTTTATATTCCTGCCATGTGTTTTAGAGGCCATGTTTTTCGAGATATTTGCTTTGTTCCTGCAAGTGTGCGGCTTGCTGGTAGTTGAGACAAGTCTTCAGTGTGCATCGCAATCCACCGTCAGGTTCGCAGTAGCAGGTGTTGCAGTCCAATCTTTAAATAATTATGACATTATTACATGTTTATTACAAGTTAAATAATTTTCTTTACATAGATCGATACAACTGAAGTACAGTGCAGTGACAGTGTAATATAATCTATCAACAGTATAAAACATCAGCTTAAAATTTCAGTGCTGCTGTGTTTTATATGTTGAGTGTAGAGAACCGGAGACCCATTTTTCTCGAAACGATGCATTCCATCTTAGTCCCAAGGGTGACAGCGCATCTGCATTTTGATTCTTAGTCGTGAATAGATGTAGATGTCTATGGACGACAGCATCCACTTACCGTCATGTGAACTGTGTGCTCGTTTGTCACCCCCATTCTATAGAAAAAAATACCCCGTTTCATCTCTTAGGTGTCGTAAGAGACGTCCCTGGGAAATGCCAGACCAGCGTCGAGGAGCAGTGTCAAAGTTTACGATTTAAGTAAATCATCCCTACAACCAGTTTATCAAGAAGAAGTTCGGTACCGTCTGTACCTTTACCGTTACAACCTATTAAAGTCCACTTCTGAACATAGGCCTCCCCTATAGATATAGATTGCCTCATAAGCGAGGATATTTGCCATAGTTGCCACGCTTGGCAAGCGGGTTGGCAACCGCAGTGTTAATTTTTAGTCGTTATTAGCGCTGCTGCCCATCTCCTGGTTTGTAACCCTCTGTCGCCTCTTGCGACACCCACGGGATGATATGGGGCAGTAGATAATTCTACACCGCCAATACTCGAGGTGTGGTACAAATATTTTTATTTCTTGTTCGGCGTTGTTAGGCGGACGTTTAACCAAGCAATCAATTTCAAGTCTTGTTATCAGTAATACATACTTAAAATTTTAATAGCCAATAAAAAGGCTTGTTACCTCGCCAGCGATTAGCACGCTTTCGACAAAATTATTTTGCAAGTATTTTTGAAAATTAATGAAATGCAGGAAGTCGATAGATGCGGGCTCGCGACCATGTTTTAAGACATTCTTATAGGACGGGTGGGTCTCCTAGGGCTCTGAAGATATCACGATGGTTGAAATATTAAATCTGCATAAACATGTGCAGCTATATTGTGGTTGTAGCATGAACGCATTGGCTCGATTGGGGAAGAACCACGTTCTTACAGAATACCAGCGTAAAATAGCAGCCTAATGCTGCTATGTTTCGGTATATGAGTGTAGAGAAACGGAGATCCTTTTGTATTGGAATTAAGACATTCTATTACTGTCCACTTACCATGGGGTCGTTTGATAGCTAAATTGTTGCTAAAATTACAAGTGATGTTTTGCAGTTTCGTGAGATAGGAGTGACTGGCATCGAATTTCTTACTGAAGCTGAAATTTAGTCACGGATTCCTCCAGTTCGGTACTGAGAGTTCTGGTTCAGGGAGAGGCAAAACCAGATGCGACTCAAAATATCACCCAGAAATGTACTTCTACGTATCCTTATTCAGTTTCCCGCCGCATCCATCATCCGCTCGCCCAAATGACAAAGGATCGTACCCCACTGCTCCATACGCTGCTCGAGGAAGTCTCTTACTGTGCAATCAACCTTGTTCAGCTGGGAGACTTCTCGTACAGATACTTGCCACAACTTTAGTCCAAAAGCCCTAGTTGTGGTGCACGAGCTTAGACCGCAAACTACGCCCGAAGGCGATAGAATTGCTTTATTTGGTCCTTAGCCCGTTCCACTTACCATTGGCCGGTCCAATGATCTAAAGGACTACTTCTAGTCACTCTGGAAAACGCGATTCTAGTTGAACCGCTTCGACCTCTCGATATATATACCTATCGCCAAATTCACTTCCCTCAAGCTGTGATTTTCTGTTACAAGTCATCCTGCGCCACGTCAGTTTTTACGCAATTTCCGACATGGACAAGCTTACATTTGTCCCAGCAATCGCCATCCTGACGGTGCGCACAATCCTTGCTCTATGTTTGACCGAACCAAACCAAGATCTTTCCTTCAATGGAAGAGACCCGTAAATAGTAGTAACCTTTAAGGGCAGATAAATAATAAACAATTAATACTTACGTGTACTTAGAATGCGGTACGCACATATCCTTTTTCGTATTGAAACTGAGCCCAATTTTTGAGCCCGCGTGCTGTTTATGCCTCTTAGGCATGACGCAACCGTACAAGTATCGACATTGGGTTTTGTTCTTCACGCAGCTACAGCGAATGCAACGATTGGATAGCGTCTCCTCAACCCTATCCGTTTTCTTGCAAGGGGATCCTGTAATAATAATAAGAATAATAATACTAACAATAATCTTTATTGATAAACATATTACATGCTCAAAAGTTTACGGTGGTCGACAGCTCCTAAACTAAGATATTGTACCAGTATTTCAGGGGCTAGTTTTCCTTACCTATTTTTAGTTCTTATTATGATGATTTGTTTATAGATATAATCTGTATAAATAAAATGATAGAGGTGTGCAGTTGTGCGCGCATCACGGAAAAACTACTGGATAGATTTTAATTAGGTTTTCTAAGTTTTATTTCTTAGACACTTGGCCCTTATCTAAAAAAATATTATTGCAATATCTTCACTTAATATAAAGTCATTAAAGTTTTAACACACAACGATTTTTATAAGCACTACGTGTTCAGTGATGTGTGTTTTCTTTGTCAATATAGCTGGTATATTATAATATAAGCTGGTATGTTATAATATAATATAAGAACAGTTAATTTAGCTTTTATTTTTAAATTGTTTCAAAATTTTAATCTTTGTTGTCATCAGACATGGCCTGCGTTACATAATCATCAAGTTCCGCAGGTTAATCGTCATTGACAATTAAACGAGCGACGAGACACACGTCTCGCACATTGACGCTACTTCCCACCCCTGTACTGGTCTGGGTTTTTTATGTCTGTCGTAAACCAGATGGTTATACCTACATATCTCTTATACCTGATGGCATCCACACAAGGAATGGAATGATGGATTCTCTAAACTTCTTTTTGTATAGACTAAGGGTTACAACGGGTGCAATTTACTGCCTTTTGACATTTTCAAGCAGTGATTTGAGACATTGTACATTGACATATCATTTAACCATATGAAATACGATAAAATTAAAAACTTCTTAGCTTCACAAACATACACACACACACACACACACACACACACACACACACACACACACACACACACACACACACACACGTATATATATATATATATATATATATATATATATGTATGTGACGGTTACGCAAGTTCAGTGCTTTATTTTCCACCCCAAAAGTGTCCAACGTGCTTACAGAAGCTGTCACTTCAAAAATACATAATTATGTCATTTTTCTTTAGTAGTCGATTTCTGGTCATCAGAGCCATGTTCGTTTATGAATTGAATCACATATACTCGGCTAGCATTTCTAGACGAAAGTATTACAGCACATTTAAAATTATATTTTTGAATAGTTTTTAAAACAAGTGATGGTAAAAAATGTATTACTTTTTTTAATGTGCATACTACGTATTTTTATTCGCACCATCGATATATATGTACTACGTACTAGATTGCGCTTTCCGAACATACACTATGTTCAACTGAACTGTACTGCAATCCGTACAGTGTGTCATTTAGTGTGGTTTCAATCTACTAGTTAGTCTGTGGTTTCAATATTCATGCAGTGTGGAACGGAGCTAATAATACAAGATTTCAAATTAAAGTTTAAACCTGGACTTAAATAACAATTCGGTAGTCAAGTAAGTAAAATTATTTGTTGTTCAAGTGAATAAATAGGTAATAATAACGTAATATTACAAAAGAAAAAATCATGAAAAAATATATTTCTTTGTATAAACTGACCGCGCAGGCGTAACGCGCTTAAATCAACTGCGCATGCGCGACTTTACTCTCTCGCGCATGCACGAAGACATAGAGTAGTGCACATTTTTTGTTTAGAAAGGTTCTCTAATACGTAGTACATATAACTCAATGATTCGCACAGACATACACGAAAGCGAGATAATAAAAACGTGGTAACAAAAATAAAAATATATAGAATATTACGCTTAAATTATAATTTCAACCGACTTCAAAAAATGAGAGGGTTCGACCGGTTTTATTTATGTGTTACCTCAGACCTTTTTTTAAGGTGAATCGATTTTAATGTATTTTATTTAATTTAAAAGCTGTTGCTTCTCACGTGGTCCGATATAAATTTAATGAAGATCTAACCAGTAGTTTTTAAGTTATTCATAATAATGCGTATTTAATTGACTGCGAGTTCGACTGCATTGATGATGTTCTGATTTTATTTATATTGAAGTCGGTTGTACAAAATACCACTTCTATTAAACAGGTTTTATACCTGACATCTTCTTAGCTTTGGCTGTGTGAATATCTTCTTCGTAAAGGCAGTACAGTTTGTCGCACAAGAGATTTCCATTCCATAAGCATAGACAAGTATTGCATCGCACCATATATGATGTTCCCGGCACGCACTCGGCAGCTGAATGTGGTAACATTGGAAGACGAAAAGAATCTTCGTATGAAATCGACGGCCTAACATCATTCGGTGTCAATGCACTCGTAACTATGAAAATAATTCAAATAATGTTAATTTGGAGCCGTGGTAGCTCAGGGACTAAGTGCTCGCTGTTATTTTCACAGTACGCGAGTAACCCAGATTCGATCCCCGCCGGCATCAACAAAATTGTTAATTTCAATTTTAAGTGCTGATTTACTACGTGCTCGGCGGTGAAGGAAAACATCTTGAGAAAACCTGCATGTATAATAAATAAGGAAAAAATGTGAAGTTCGCCAACATTCATTGGGGCTGCTCGGCGGACATTTTCTTGCCCTAGAATATAATGGAAATATAAAGAATGAGAGAAGGCCCGTGCCTAGCATTGGTACGAATATAGGCTGTAACTTTAGCTTTAATTTGGTTTTCAATGCCCCGTATGATCAAAATAAAGGGAACCTATAAAGAACCTGTATATTATAAGTTACAGCGTTATACGTGGTAGATCCGTGTTGCAGCTATATTACTCGTATGGTTGCAGTACGAATGGGTCAGCTTGACTGGTGTAGGACAACGCTCTCATAGAAAACCGAAATAGCAGCTTAACGCTCCTGCGTTTCGTATGGCGAGTGTAGAGAACCGGAGACCCTTTTTATTGGATACTAGGAATTTCATCTTAGTCCTCAGGGGTAATATCACATTTGTACTTTGATTCTTAATTAAGGAAAAATGTAGAAATCTATGGTCCACAGTATTTACTTAGGCGGACCGTGTGCTCGTCTGTCACACTTATTTTTATTATATTAGGTTGACTACAAGTGTCCATAGATTGCCGTAGCAACTTAACCATCAGTTGAACTATGTGCAAATTTGTCTGCTTATTACTTACATCACTCACGCCTGTCACCTGCAGTCTGTAGCCTCTGCCTCCCCTAGAGGGGTAGGCAGAGACTACAGACTTCTATTTGGCTCGATCCTGACACACCTCTCGCCTCCTTATTATATTTAAAAAAATGCGAAATAGACTGGAATTCAAAAAAGAAAAATATAAGACATGATTTATCTATTCTGTTTCGGGTGGGTAGCCATTGGCTACTGGTATCTCTCATAATACTGCGAATTTTAAAGTACAAATTACATAAGAAAATTTACATTTCGGTGTTCTATTGCACTGTGTTCGCTTCGATGGACCACAGCCAAGTTTTCCATTTACATCACAATAGCACAATCGGCATTCTTTCCGATATATCCTTCCTGGAACACATTTACCCTTGGGCAAATTCAGTATATCAGGCCCGTCGTTATCGTAACCTCGCCTTAAGGACTTGAATGGACGATTCTTGAAGTGCTGGAGTCGATCAATACTTTCGTCATCTAGACATGCCATTTTTGTACAATAGAGTGCATTATTGTCAGCGCAGTGGCAAGTATTGCAAGACATTTTATATATTTTTCCCTTAACGCAAGGTTCGCCTTCTCTTATCTCTGGAATGTCTGGATTTGGATATGATCCGTTCACTGAAAATGAATGTTTGTTTAATTACATGGGAAAAAAATATTTAAAAAAAATTATTAAACTACTACAAATATAATGAGTGCGATCCGGGAGAATAACATTCAAAACTTAAGAAGAGGCAAAAATAGGAAACGTGGCAGATTAAATAGGGAAATAGGAATAACTTTAAATTTTTATGTATAAAAATGTTCTGATGTGCTCAGAGCCTGCATAAGAAAAACATGCGTGAGCGCCGTGAAACGCTCGGTTGGAACGAAGTTCCTTTCGTAGTATATTATTATTGATAAACGTACTATATTATTGATTAACAAATACAAATAAATGAATTTTATGTATTATGTATTGTATTATTGTATATTGTATTATGTATGTATTTATATGAACATTAATTACTAGCGTCTATTAAAATGAAGCGTCATTTAAAATAATATTTTTTTCTTGGCGAGATAAGAAAAAGTGCGAGGGTGATGGATATTATTCGATCTCGCTCGCACTATATAAAGGGGATCGTGGCGGAAAAATCTTACACTTTTTCTCGCCTAGCCACCATTCACCAAATTCGATTGTCAATTGTGAAACTCGATTAGATTGCCATTTCTTCAGTTTATTTAATCATTACAAAAACTACTGATTTAGATATAAAAGGTAATCAGGTTCTTATTACAAAATTGCGCATCAAATGAGACGAGGTGCACAGGCACACGCACACGCACACACGCACACGCATACGCGCACACACATACACAAAAACTCGCACACCCGCATGCACGCATGTAAATACGCACTTAAACACACACATACACACAGCTTTCGGAAAAAGAAAAGAAGAAAAATTGGTGAGTATCGAAAACCGGAGTTATTTTTTATTGGTAAAGGCATTCCATCTTAATCACTAAAGTAACAACGCATTTTCATTTAGATTCATAAAAACCTGTTCAATGTTCAAAAACAAAGTTATTATACTACAGTGGAATCTGAATCTGTATCATTCTGTATACCTTATGTTTGATTAAGTTTGGGGAAAAAATCTCGAAATTCTCGTTAAGTCGAAAACTCGTGTAACTCAATGTTTTCCCTTGAAATTCGAATTATCGAGATTCCACTAAGGAATTTATGAATGATAATAGCCCGCGGGAATGAGGTGACCGCTACCAAGCTATTTCTAATTTGTTTTGTGTTGTTAATATTGTAAAATATGATTATAAGCTGTTATTTTTTTTAAGCAACGCTGGGTTTCTTGCTGGTTCTTCCCTGGACAGAGGCTTTTTTTCCGAACTAGTGGTAAATGAAAGAAAAGAGTGACTTTCAATAAGTATTATTTATAATGGATATTGAATAAAACAGTTTCTGTTCCTGTTTCTGTTTCTGTGTCTGTTGAAATGATATGCCTTAATTGCTACCATAGGTATATAGTAACAAACGTTACTATATACCCATAGTAGTAAATATATAGTAACGCCGTAAAAGTAAGTGGACTGTGAGCTCTTTTGTGATTCTTATTCTACAAAAAAAGGTTGCAAGTATAAGTTTGTTATTAGTACGACTGTGCGATTACAACAAAAACCCTCAAAGAATATTAAAAGGTAAAATGGAACGATATTAGACTTAGACTTATGTTTATGAGCGAAGGTTGGAAGTACACACCATAGTGACCTTTATTACATCGGAAAATGCCTACGCACACGATACGTGCGATTTATCGCACTATATTAGCGTAACAAAAATGGCTTGTACATAAATGGCGAATATTAAGCAAATTAATTTTTAAAATGGCGTTGAAGTGTACTTCAAAATAATACTCACACAAACATTGCACGCATGATATCCAATACGTCACAACAAATAAAATCGATTTTGAAATCATCATATCATAAACTAGTATTAAGAAAAGAAACACGTATTATAAGCAGCACATGCAAACTGTAATAATCCAATCTTGGCAATTAATCACCATAATCGTTATTTTGCTTGGTTTCATTCCATTATAGACTTTTACGAGAATTATACGATCAATTCAGTAGTTAAAAAAGAAAAATAAAATAGCCTAAAATACCCCGTATCTCACTGAGGCACACAAACCACCAAATATAATTTAACAAACTAATAGGGTTTTTGGAACAGAGAATAGACCACCAGCTGTTACTTGTTGGTGGATTTCGAATGTCGTCGAAATATTTTTACAAAGTTTTAATCACGATTTTCTCCTTCGCCTTCGAGTATGTGGAAATTTACCAATCAAAATTGCATTAATCAATTTCGTTAGTACCGGCGCGGATCGAACTTTGTTTTCTCGCACAATTTTAAGTTGAATGTTATATCCTCTGGGCTACCATTGATATACCAAAAATTTGTTGAATAAAAGACCACAGGATCTTTTATTTAACAATTTTTTAAAGCAAAGAATATACCAGTATTATTCCTTTATTTATACTATTTATTGCACACAACATATTACACTACACAACAAACTTAAATATATAAATATATGTACAATTAGGTCGCCTTATCGCTAAACAGCGATCTTCTCCACACAAACCTTGGTGAAGAAGATCATTTTCATTTAAACATATAGAAGTTTGCATAAATATGCTATATTTCGCTATATGTAATATATCAGACAATGTAATAATCCAAAACATTATATATATATTTACATATATACAGTATATTATTACTACGTAATTTAAGTTTGTTTTGTAAATTGCCGGCTTGGGCTCCAGGTTTTTAAATTTATGGCGGGTCGCAAGCTCAATGACTAAACCTTTAACTGCGGCGCTGCTTGCGGACAGTTCAATTTCCACATAAAATAAGTACCTCCATGGCTTTAAAATAATGTTTTGGCACTGGACGTTGTTTTTCCAAGTATAGTTTTATAGCCACCTTACCCATAATCCACTTGGATCAATAATTAATTATTAATGCCAAAATAATCCTAAAGCTATAGAGCTACAGATGTGTTGTCATTTCTGAGGATCAAGATGGAATGCCGCTCAGGCTCGGGGTTGCCACTCATATTATAATTCAGTCAATTGTACTATATATTATAGAAAATTAATATAGTATGAAAAATACTATATTTGTTCAAAAAAAGGTGGCAACTCTACTCAGGCTGGAATACATCAGTGCAATCATTGCTATTTGCCCACAGAAATAAGTAGATAGAGTAGAGGATGGTATCTACCCAAAAAGAATAGGAAAGCCCTCCAATAAACAAGTCCTCTCACCTAGAAACCTGCTTTATTATTGTTATTAAATATACATCAACCCTCGATATTATCGAGGGTTAATTTGCAAAACTAGTTCGATTTTTTTTCTTTATCCTTTGGTTTAAGCCGATAATTTGATTGGATCATTATAAGTGGAGATAAATCACGGAATAACCGTGCATCAGCATAGTAAGTTTGAAAAATGTCCACGTAAAACAGTTACAGTTTAGTTCTTAGGGCTGATAACGCATCTGCATTCTTGATCGAGGATTGATGTAGATGTGTCTATAAGCCACGGCATACCCTTACCATCGGCTGGACTGTAAGTTCTTGTGTCACCCTTGTTCTACAAAAAAGATTACAAGTATAGGTTTGTTATTGGTACGACTGTGCGATAACAAATATCAAAATTAAATAATAAAAGTAGAAGAAATTCGTGTTATATGTATTACTAGAGCAACTGCTTCAATTTGTGTGATAGAGCAAATGAATGAGATTGAGATGGAACAGTTGTCTCAACAGCTGATCCATTTGATGGAGAAGGAGGAACTCTTAATGATGAACACATTTTTCCAGAAGCGGCCCCATAGAAAGTGGACCTGGATTGCCCCTTGGTTCGAAAAAAATTTAGATAGATCTCATTATGACGTATAGATGACACGATCTCACAGAATACCAGCATAAAATAGCAGCTTAATGCTGCTGTGTTTCGTATGGTGAGTGTAGAGAACCGGAGACCCTTTTTACTGGAAAAGAGGCATTCTATGTTACTCCTCACGGCTGATAACGCAACTGCATTTTAATTCGCAAATGAAGATAGATGTAGATGTCTATGGACCACAGCAACCACTTACCATCAGGTGGACTGTGTGCTCGTTTGTCACCCTTATTCTATAAAAAAAAACTATTAAATGATGTGAAAACTGGAAACGATCACCAAATGGTGCAAGTCACAATGAATGTTTAACGTGAAGTTGGAGATGTATTGTCTAATGAAGTCACCGCTCTGTTCCCGTCGTATTCTTATCCAAATCCCCGAAACCTTTCTGCTCGAGTTGCATATTTATTTTCAATGCCTTTGATATAAATATAGTAGACGATATAAGTGACAAGCTCGTGTAAACCTGTCCATGAGGTGGGAATTAAGTTTTGCAAAAATCGTCGCAAAAGAACCCAAAAACTGTTCGATATCACTTTTAATATCATGGCTGTGAGACAAGAAATAAAGCCACAAACTTCAAAAGTAAGTAAGTAAAAGTAAGTACAATCAACTGAACAAATTTCGATATAACTCGTCTTGAAAAAGCGATTGAGCGGTATCACCAACGTCAGAGCCAACTGTCGAAGTTAAGACCGACTGTGGTAGCGTCATATCCGAGATACCTGAGATTTTGAGTGAGATTGTTAGGTTCCATAAACAAATATACACATTATCGTTCGAGGCACACGCAAGTATTATCTGACGCTATTCTGGTGACATACCGGCAACAGTCTAAGCGAGATAAGAATGGCTCTCCAGCACGAGTCTTTTGAGTTGGGATGGAGCTTCTAAAACTGGGTGGAAATCCGGTATACAAAGTCCTTTCAGAAGCTCTTCAATTCCGTCCTGGCTGGTCTGGATGGTTATTAGAGTACAATACCAAAGTACATAACTTACCTAACTAC